TGAACCTACACTGACACTTCATTATCACTCAACATCCATAGTTTACATTAAGGTTCCTCTTGGTGGTGTATGTTCCTTTCAGCTGGACAAATACACAATGACAGATAGCCACCCTCATCACACAGGATAGTTTCATGGCCCCAAAAGCCCTCTGTGCTTCCTTCTTCCCTTCCCACAGGCTCTGCCAAATTTATTCACTCTTGTTTCCAGGTCTTCGGTCTACTTCTTAACATCTATCTTTCTGGTTGGAGCTTGCAAGGCTATTTTTTTTGCCTCTTTTCAATCTTATTTTCTATGACCTTTTCATTATGCATATGCCAAGGGTGAGTTCCCCACAAACACAGAAATTAAACATCAGATGTGAGATCTACACAGCTGTAAGCATTCTTCTGGGAACCTGCACTGGATTCATCTCACTTGCTTAATGCAATTACCTAAACCAGTCATGTAGCATTAATGCTAATTTGCCCATTTCTACAGCTGAAAGAAGTTTGAAGAAAAACTGTTTCCGCCATAATCCCTTTATTTTCAAAGTGAAGAATAATCAATTCACCTAGTCTCAAAGTTTAATTCTTAGTTAATCGTCAGCCTCAGAAACATGTACTTTAGTCATACGATGTCACTGATAATAGCTGCCACATCCATTTCTGTCTTATATTACAAGCCTAATAACCTGTCTAAAATACAACACTAACCATTCACTTCTCAACTGAAAACTTAACAGTGGTTTTTCACGGTCCCAGGGACAAATCTTACAGGTAGGAGGCCTTTAAACATCTGCTCCTACTTTGATCCTCACTTCTCACCTTCTTCAGCCCCACCAAACCATCCTCCCTGCTCTATAGGAGCCTTCACCAACAATGTGTTTCTTCTGCCTCAAACACACATCTTTCACTTTTTCCATATTATAATTAAATAACTTTCCGCTCTTGGCTTAGAAAGCTATTCTACCTAAATATCCTTGGCTCTTTTAGCCGAGGTTAGGTACCAGTAGCCCTCTGTACTTACTGCATCATAACACCACATAAACAAGCAGACAAGAAGTGTGTTTCTTTACATCCCTTGTAATACCAAAAGCCTGGCAATGACAATAACTGGGCACTACTTCACCTTGAACACCTACTGTATCTCACTAGCATCTTGCATAAAGCAGAAACTCAATCATAGTAAAACGTTTGTGAGTAAGACAATTTAGAAACTAATATTCAGGGTTTGGGGAGGATGGAAATGCAAAGGGTTTTCTGTTATTCCCTCAGCAGCCACTGTTTATGTTCCAGTTCAGTTTAATTCAGCAGGCACTGCTGCCTAGCCAAGGTAGGGGCAGACAGAATGTCAGCTAGAATCCACTCCACAAAGAATATGGACTTAGGAGAGAACACACACACATGCACACACATACATGCACACACTCATACACACTCATACCACACACACTCACATACACACACCACACACTCACATACACACACATGCACACACACATGCACACACTCATACACACATGCGCACACACATACTCATACACATGCACACACTCATACACACACATACACACACACCACACACATTCACATACACACATGCATGCACACACACATGCACACACTCATATACACATGCACACACAAACACTCACATACACACACATGCATGTACATACATACACACACACACACACACACACACACACACACACACACCACACACACCCTAAGCACCAAGTGCAGTGTGCTTGCTGTTAGAGTCTAAAGTGTACAACATAGATAATGTATCTCAAAGCAAAGACAAGGGTGGGAAATACAGTCATCAGGCTGAGCTCAATGGGCAGGTGAAACTGAAGACAGAAAACAGACACATTACAACACGCCTGAAGAAACCCTCCTCCTCGGAAACCCGGGGTCCCTAAGGCCAGAAGTCCTTTCATAAGCCTAAGATGATATTTGTCTTCTCACTTTCATTCCTCCTCATTGTAAGCCTGTAGGGAGTGGAGAAAGCAAGGAGCATGTGATGTCCTAAGGGAATGTGTGCTGTTGACATGGGCATGGTCATGTCAAGAACTCAATGCCTTGGCCCCATGGAAGTGGGAAAGCCTTCCCTAAGTGAGTGTTCTTCAGGGGTCTGTGTGCGAATGTCCACCGTAGCTTCCCGCCCCATGTTTACAGCTTGAAGGCTGCTCCTCTACAGAGACTGCTTCCACCATGAGGTTAAACCTGGCTCCTTAACCCAGCTGTATACTATAAACGCTGTTTGCTCACATCAGCTGTCCCTCCTCTCTGTTAAATAACTACACTGAGCTTCCAGGCTGCTTGGCTTCTCCATCAGAGCCTGGACCACCCAGTCCCAGGTTTTTGAGCCTGTGTGCATCCTTGTGCTGCAGTCTAATGGCTGGAGCTGTGCTGGAGCCACTTCTGATACAGAAACAAGATGACAGTACAGCTGTTTCTGATGGGTGGTGGTGCACGCCTTGAATTTTAAATCCTGGTCTACAGAGTGAATTTTGGGACAGCCAGGGCTACATAGAGAAACCTTGTCTTCAGCCCACCCCCCAGAAGTATAAAACAATACTACTCATTCAATTTTGAAAAGTATCATTCCTAAAAAGTAGTATTTATGTTAACAGTCATGGAATTATTGATTTTTTTTTAGTGAACATTCAAACATTTTAGTTTCACTTCTAACGAAGACTGACAGGCATACCTACATAACCAGAGTTCCTTGAGCTTTGAGCATTTTTCAAAAGTGCAAAGGGGCAGTCACATCAAAATCTTAAAACTCAAAGAGCAACTTGTTTTCAGAGGCTCATGGGGAACTAGCCTAGACTTCCTATAAGTAACTAAGTGTGGCTTTCTTCTCAGTGATTATTTCTACTTAGTCCAAAATCATAAAAAGAATTTTTTAAATATCATTCTTTCCTACCCAAAGAACAACAGGCTACTGAGAAAATCTGGGAACGAGAGGAGGCCCTCCCCAGGGTCAAACACACCAACTGGTTGTCCCATGACAAATGGTCAGCCCTGAAAACATACATACAAGTAACATTATCTAGGCTCTAAGAGTTATATTTGGGAATATATATGCAAATACACATATACATTCAATAACAACTTATGAAAACAGTGGCCATGAATTTGAAGCAGAGCAGGGGGTGGGGGTTGGAGGGAGGAAAAGGAAAGGAGAAATGTTGTAATTAATATACAACCTTGAAAAGAAAAAAGAAAAAATCATTCTTTTCCTCCTACCCAAGCACCTATTATTTTGAATTATGGTATGTGGCATTATACATGAATAGAGACTTCACAAATATTACTTAATAACTGCATGATCAGAGGTACCATTCTTCCAAATTCTTTCTTGACAGAAATTCTCATTTATTTATTTCCAGAGTACTCTCTTAAAATACACTGAAACTTCATACCACAGTATGACAGATTTCTTCCAACAAGGCATGGGGTCTTATTCAAGAGCAAACCTGCCTGAGCAACACTGTAGCTGGAACTTTTGGGAACCATGAATTCAAAACCGTCTCACTGTGAAAGTCTCATTCCTCTTAAACTACCTTGAAGTCCCATTTCCTAGGTGCTGCTCAAGGCTCCTCAAGCACAGCTGAGGCTTAGGCTTCCACCACCTCAAGTGACTTCCTTTATCTCCATCGGGCCACAATCCATCCTCCAAGAGACCAACTGCAAAGCCAAGCTCACCCCCTCCTGCTTCCTTTCCAAATGAGCACGCCTGCTTATGGGTACCCAGAGGGTTCAGAACACCAATCAGAACTCCCAGTAAAGTCTCGTTATCTTTTCTTAAAAAAATTATTTGTCATTAATTTATTATTGTGTACAAGTGTTTTGCTTCACGTGTGTGCACCGCATGTTCTTTTGGTCACGACATCCTACCACAGCCTTAGAAAAAGAACTAATCCAAATACAAAGCACGCACCCCAGTGAGTGTTGCTATGTGGGACATGCTAGCAATGGAAACTTTAGTAGGGGAGGAAGTAGGTCACTGATGATTTAGAAATTATGTTGGTGAAAATACCCATCTCTCCATGTGGGTCCCAGGGACTGAACCCAAAATTACCATACTTGCCAGAAAGCACCTTCACCCACTGAGCCATCTCACAGGCCCAAACAGAGGTAAATCCTTTGAAATTTAAAACCCGGGACCAGCAAGCAGACTGGTGGGCAACTTGATCCCTGAACAGTGAAGTCCGGCCTACTTCTGAGAACAGACTGCAAGTACACAACACACAGTAGTAGACTGCAGTTCCAAAAATGTGTGTCAACAGGGGAGGGCCTAGGCCCTACCCCAAATGGTTTGACAGACTTTGATGATCCCTCATTGAAGGCCTTGCTCTCCCTGGGGAGTGGATGGGGGATGGGAGAGGGAGGTGTCTGTGGGGGACATGGGAGGATGGGAAGTAGAGGGAACTGGGATCAATATGTAAAATTAAAAAATTACTGAAAATTAAAAAAAAAAGTGTGTCAGGAACAAGTCCAGTATTTTCACCAACATAATTTCTAAATCATCAGAAAGTATTACTGTCAAGTTTCACAATACTCTTCAAAATAGAATTCTTATCCCACTTTTCTCATAAGGAAACTAAGGGGTAGAAGCCCACAGCCGATAGTGTAGGAAACTAAATTCAAACTTAGGACTGTTACATGTCACAGCTCCCGCTAGCTACACACTTCTGTTTCTCACATTAGAAATACACAAAACATGATAGCAAGATGAGATTGTCGGTTAGGGATGTATGAAAGTGTGTTTACTCAAAGTACAGAACGAGAAAAGTCCAGTGAAATCAATGATGTGGTTTGTTTCGTATTTGAGGTAGGTTCTCATATGTAGCCCTGGATGGCCTGGAACACTCTGTGTAGACTGGGGTGCCCTTGAATGCACAGAGATCTGCCTTCCTCCACCCCAAAGGTTTACTTTATGACCTCTTTACGCAGAGTACGAACTATATTTTAACCCAAATTGCTTTAGTAAATTGCTTAAATTACCTGTTTGTGTTTTAGAAACATGTTTCTGGAGAAAGTCAACTATCTGAGCCAAAACCTTCTTGTTACACTGTGTCAATAATTTTTCATTACATTCATAGCACCTGAAAAATATAAAATGCAAGCCAATGTTATGAAAGCACCTTCAATACATGCATACAAGGTATACAGTAACAAGTCTGCCTTTAAATTACACAGAAATAGGGAACCCAGAGGGGAGGCGGCAATAAGCAAGGACAGTCACACAGACCCTCACTGTGATAGAATGTCACAAGGTTCCAGGCACAGCAGTTATACAGCTCGACTTCTACATGTACCCAATCCGCGTGTGTGTGTGTGTGTGTGTGTGTGTGTGTGTGTGTGTGTGTGTGTGTGTGTGTGTTTAAGTGGGTTTTTGTTTGCTTCTTTTGGGCAGTATTCAGTACAGAGGAGGCAAAGGCAGGCAGATCTGTGAGTTCAAGACCACCTGGTTCAGTTCCAGAGAGCCAAAGCTATGTAGCTAGACCTTGCCTCAAAAAATGAGACAAAACAACAACAAAGGTAGGGTCTCTATAAAAAGCATTTACTGTCCTAGAACTTACAATGTAGACTAGGCTAACCTGCAAGTCACAGAGATCCACCTGCCTCTGCTTCTCAAGTGCTAGGATTAAATGTGCTCATCAGCTTGCCTGGTTTTTGTTTTAAGTCTTATTTGTTTTTTAAGTCTTATTTATTTTTAATGTGTGTGGTGAGTATTTGTCTGAATATAGATATCTGTGCACCATGTGCATGCAGTACCCACAGAGGCCAGAAGATGGCATCAGATCCCTGGGACTGCAGTTCCAGACTACTGTGGTTGCTGGAAATTGAATCTGAATCCTCTGGAAGGACAGCCAGTACTCTCAACTGCTGAGCCATCTCTCCAGCCCTGTAATACACACTCTTAACCTCTGAACCATTTCTTTAGCTCCCATTTTTGGTCTTTCTGAGACAGGGTTTAGCTATAGAGCCCAGGCTAGCCTGGAATTCACAATCACCTGCCTGTTTCTCCCCCAGTGCTGTGATTACAATAATATTTTAAGAATATTACTGTGCAGGTAGGAGAGTCCCCGAACCACCTGAGTGCTTAAAGTACCTTCCTCCTCTTAGAATGCTGGAATTCTACCTCAGATCATTACAGAAAATGCAACAAGACAGACTTCTTTATGGTACAAAGAAAATGTGAAAGGTAGGTAGGTTTTTTGTTGTTGTTTTGTTTTAATTTAAGCCTTATGGTAATGGGTAAAATTATTTTTCTTGCAGGGCACCGGTGGTACAAACCTTTAATACCAGCACTCAGGAGGCAGAGGCAGGCGGATCTCTATGTGGCCAGCCTGGTCTATAGAGCAAGTTCCAGGTCAGGCTCAGAAGCTACAAAGAAACCCTGTCTCAAAAATACCCACAATATATATATTTTTTTCTTAAATTATCCCACAGATTGTGTACAAGAGAAAAATGCACACATTGGTATTACATTTTTGTTTTACCTTGTAAAGCTCAGTATTTTTAGTTGATAAAGTATTAGTAGAAGTTAACTTACCATATGGTCCAGGTACTCAGGCTAATGACAACACAATGGGACTCGGTCCCAGGGCTCTGGAAATGTCTCAGTGAATGCTGGCTTTCTGAATTTTTACCACATCCCTAAAGATGAACAAAACATTATCTGTATGATTCACATGTAAGTTCCTTTCAAATTGATCAAATCTTAAATTGTACTTAACAACAGCTTTGGTTTCAAGCAAGAGGGAATGATTTCGAAGAACAATATAGAGTTTTACCAAATTTCAATATTTGTAAAGTAGATGATTACTGTTCAATGTGTATTTACCTATAATAAAATAAGCACAGGTGACTGATTTCTCTTTCATTTAGGAAGGTAAGCACTCCATGTCCTGTACAGTATATCTGTGGGACCCTGAGCATACTGCTAGCCCCGGGTCCCCTCCCCAAACACATATTTCCAAGTCCTCCACCCCAAGCCCACTGAAAGTGGAAACACGGCAAATGTGGTAAAAATCCCTCACTAGATAAGTAAGGGAGCGAGTATTACATGGGAGGAAAAGTTTAGGAAAGTGTCGTATATCTGCAAAAAAAAAAAGGATGTACTGTTCCTTCCTCGGGAGCTTTGGAGTCTCTGAAGCCTGGAAGCTGGAGACGACATGGTAAAGCAATGGAAGGCTGCATTATGAAAGTCTCTTTCTCTTGAATTAATTGCTATCTCTGAAGCAACTTGATTTCTGTATTTAATTATTTATTTTATTTATTTATTTTTGGTTATTTGAGAAAGGGTTTCTCCAAGTAAGCCTGGCTGTCCTATAATTAACTCTGTAGATCAGGCTTGCTTTGAACTCAGAGATCTCCCTGCCCTTGCCTCCTGAGTACTGGGATTAAAGGCATGTTCTACCACTTTTTATTTCAGGGGAAAATCCCTTTATTAGGGTAGGTGAGATGGCTCAGTGAGTAAAGGTATCTTCTGATATCCACAAATGTGTTGTGGCATGCCAGTGCTCACACACACTCAAGGTAAATTAATAATAGTAGTAATGAAAAGGGATGGAAAAAGGAATCCAAGATCCATTTGCTAAAATTAAGAAAGAAAAAAAAAAAGACAAAACTGGTCCAGATATGAGAACAAGTACATTAGATTCCCTTTCGAGCATTTATGAACTACACATGATCACTTTCTAAACACAGTGTATATTTACTTAATCTTAAATATTCCTAAATCTACCTTGGCACAACAATCTAAACATGAAATGAATCTATTTTAAGGCCTAGCTCACCAGAAGTCCAACTCACAGTAGGCGTTTGAAAGATAAAAATAGAAGACATATATATAAAAGACACCTTTCTTACCTGAAAACCACACTTGAGGCACAGCCAGACATCGGAAGGGAGTACCGGCTGTCCATCACAGAATCTTCTCTCTTTCAAACACTCTGAACAGACTGACCACAGATTCTCAGCTACTGCCTTCTTCACATGATTCACACTGACAGCATAACTGACGTGCTGGCATGTTAAACCTACTGAATAATACGGGGCAAAATGAAAACATTTCCTCTGCTAGGCGAAAACGCTACCATCAGCAAGAGTGCTGGTTAGTTTATTAACCTGATACAAGATGGAGTCATCTGCAAAGACAGGACCTCAACTGAGACATCACCTCCATCAGATGGGCCTGTAGGCATTTTCTTGATTAATGATTAAAGAAAGAAGGCCCAGCCTACATAGGCAGTGCCATCCCTGGGCAGTGATCCTGGGATGTGTAAGGAAGCAGGCTGCACAGGCCACAGCAAACCAGCCAGTGTGCAGTGTCCCTCCACCGCCTCTGCTTCAGTTCCTGCTTCCATGTTCCTGCTCTGACTTTCTTCGTGACAAATCAGAAACTGTAAGGTGAAATAAGCCCTCACCTCTGCACGTAGCTTCTAGTCATACTGTTTATCATGGCTCAGAAAGAAACCCAGAGCAGTAAGCAAAAGTCTGCATCATTAAAGTGATACAAAGTAAACACCACATATTCAAAAGACAAAGTAACTCATAGAGATATATAATTGCACCAGTACACATACATAATATTCTTGAAATACAGTAATTACAGAAGAGATTAGTGGTTTCTAGGAGCTATGGGTGAGGACAGGGTTATGGATATAAATAGGTAACATACAGGATGGTGATAAGCTTGGCTCACTGACATATACAAAACTACACACATAAACATAATAAAACTGAAAGTGCACACACACACACTCTAACATACATTCAAAATGTGACCTCTCAATATGTTAAGGATGGTTCCACCAATTTGGTATTGTATTATAGCAATGCCAGATGCTAACATCAGGAAAGGACAAGTGAAGGTAAAAAGAGACCTCAGTATATTTCTTTATACCTTCATGTTAATCTAAGTTAGTTCAAAACTAGAAATGTAATTACGATTAAATAATTACTAAGCCAGGTGTACACACCTCTAATACCAGCACTCTGAAGTCAGATCTCTGTGAACTGGATCCAGCCTGGTCTACATAGTGAGACCCTCTGTGGGAAACAGGAAAAGATTATTTCCTGAACAGCTACAATGTATCAAGCACTGTGATTGTCTTTTCTGCTCACTAAGCAGTTGCTGCTCTTTCTTTCACAGGTTAGGAGTTAAGCACCCACACCAAGAAGCTCACAGCATTCTCCAATTCCAGTTCTAAGGAACACAGCACTGTTTTTGTGGCCTCCACAGGCACCCATACAAGTATGACATTCACTGACACATAGAAATAAATGTGTGTGACACATACATGTATAAAACTAATAAAAATTATTTTAAAGAGCTATCCATATGGTCACTCCCCAGATCTGCAAGAACTAGCAGGAAAACACATATTGAGACCAGGAGTGTAGCTCACAGATAGAGTTTTCCTTAGCATACAGCACCAGGCCCTGGGCTCATTTGCTAATATCAAAAAGTAAGTAAAATGAAAAGATACATAAAATCTTTTCACATACATTCGTTTTGCTATATTCATTATTGTTTGGATAAAGAAAAGAAAAACAAATGGCGGCATAACTTACAGGGATCAGTTCTTGTTTTGCTTTGTTTTGTTGTTTTGCTTTCAGAGACTGGGTTTCTCTGTGTAGTCCTGGCTGTCCTGGAACTTACTCTGTAGACCAGGCTGCCCTTGAACTCAGAGAACCACCTGCCTCTGCTTCCTGAGTGCTGGGATTAAAAGTGTACACCACTACAGCCGAGCTTCAGAATTCTTAATGACTATTCCCACATGATAGATAAAAAAATTAAAAAATTAGGGACCAGGCAAACCCTGGTTCCTAAATATCATTTGTAAAAGCTTCCACTGTATATGGAGACAAGTGGCTAAAACTAAGCACATCTTCAAGTAATATATTTTCCTCCCAAGGGCCCAGGTAACACTACATTGTCCCCAAATACCTGAACACTTTAATATGTCTACCTCAGACATCCACATCAAAACTACATTCACAAAGCCACAACCGCCTACTAATTAACTAGAAAGGTTAGTTGTGCAGCTAGCTATGCATTAACTATTCAGAAATGCGTGTCATTCCTCACTAGGTATTTACAATGAAATATGTAAAACATTAAAGTTCCTAATTCTACATCAAGGGCAAACCATAAAAACAGACATGAAAGGACTGGGGATAGAGCTCAGTCGAATGATGAGCTTGCCTCATGCACAAAGCCCCAGGTTTGAGCCCCACAACCCTGTAACAAGGTATAGTGGCACAAGCCTACAATCCATCCAAGGACTCGGGGTAGGAGCATCCGATTTAGCATCACCTACACAGTGAGTTTGAGGCTAGCCAGGGCTAGAGACCACAGCTCAAAAAGAAAATGCAAAACAAAAGAGTAATTCTGATGTGTATTTAAACAGCAAGGACCCGAGTCATTAAAGAACAGCTTACAAATGTCATTACTTTGTATGAATAATTTAAAATTCTAAAGTGAAAAGTCATTCTATCCTATATATCTTGTCCATAATCCATGGGATGGGTTCTGACCAGGATAACATAAATATTATGACACTACCATTCAGATTTATAAAACTGAAATTATTGGTAACCTTAGAAATAAGTTGATGGGTCAGGTGGTGGTGGCACACACCTTTAATCCCAGCACTCAAGAAGCAGAGGCAGGTGGATCCCTGTGAGTTTGAGGCCAGCCTTGGGTCTACAAAGCAAATTCCAAGACAGCCAGGACTGTTACACAGTCTTAAAAAAAAAAAAAAAGGTGGACTCAAGATAACACATTTTATGGGAAGATATAAATAATTTTTTTTAATATATTTTCAGGCAAATTTCTTTCAGGTTTATGTAAATTATGTAATTATCTAAATTTCATATGATAAGTTAGGTTACATGGATATTCCTTAATATAAAATCATAATAGTTCAGTTTTTCTACAGTTTTTATATTAAATAAATAAAACCCAGTAAAACCAGTAATATAACTCTGGCTGGCCTCAGACTCAGAGATCTGCCTGCCTTTGCCTCCTAAATGTTAGGACTACGAGCATGTACCACCATACTTAGCCTGGTGGAAAATATTAATAAAACTCTACATGGAAACCTCCTAATTTGCAAATGGTGATATAAAGCCCAAACACACACCACACACATCACTCTTACTCTCTCTCTCCCTCTTTCTCTCTCTCTCTCTCCTCCAAATTATTAAATAACAAGAACAGAAATACAAAGCTCATTTTTAAGAAACACAAGTCCACCTGGGCAGTGGTAGTGCAGCCTTTAATCCCAGCACTCAGGCGGAGGAGGCAGGAGGATCTCTGTGAGTTTGAGGCCAGCCTGGTCTACAGAGTGAGTTCCAGGACAGCCAGGGATACACAGAAAAGCCCTGTCTTGAAAAACCAAAAAAGAAAAAAGAACACAAGTCCTAGCCAGGTGGTGGTGCATGTTTAAACCCAGCACTCAGGAGGCAGAGAGGGAGAAAGGAGGGGAAAAGAGAGGGGAAGGAAGGGTAAGCAGGGGGAAGGGGGAGGGGGGGACAGGTCTAGCAAGTCCTTCAGTTGGCCAAACAAAAAGTTTTACCATCTGCCCACCTCTGGCAGCTTAGAGACTTAATTTTAATGAGCCAGGAGAAAAGAGAAAGAGCCATGTGACCATTTTAACATACCTGTAACTTAAGATCCCTATATGAATACTAACAATGGTTTTGTAGGGGGAACTGACAAGCTAGTTCTCAGATTTATGCAGAAAATGGTGAAAATACAGTAGTGAATTTAGTGACTGCAAAGCATCTGCTGTTCCTCCTTTACCACCCCCGCCCCCCCCAGATGCCAGGTACCACAATTTACCAGCAATGTCATCTGAAGAATCTTCATCATGAGGTAGCAAGGGTCTTTTATTTCTTTTGCCTTTCTCAGGTAAGTCTTTTGATGGATCTTTCACCCGCATCTGTTAGCTACTGAAAAGCTTAAAGAAAAATAACAATATTTTAATCTTCAAAATTAAACTTGTATGTATTTAATGCACATTCAAACTCGACTGGTCTATAATTCAACAGAAGAAAAATAAGGGATACAAATCAAGTAAACAAACCTTTAAACCAATACACAGGACTGAGTACAGCTCGATGGTAGAGTGCACATGAAACCGAGTCCTACCCCAGGACCACACACACCCACACCCACCCACACCCACACCCACACACACACACACACACACACACACAGGCCAATGTAAGAGCAAGGTAAACTGAAGAGGATGGAATTAACTCCATCCTCAGAAAAAACTACCTTGAGAAATTTCCTGCATGGAACAAGGCTGACTCAGCTCTAGCCAAGGAGCCATAAACAGTTCCAAGGAGCACCCAAACTGTGCCCACCCCAGGCTAAGTGACCCCATCCAGGTGGTCAGGCAATGACTAATTTTGGTAAATAACATCTTCTCGACACAACTGTCCCTGTGGGCAACTGTTAGTAACAATTTTGAAATTCCCCTAGACCCCAGGCAATGAATCCAAAGGTCACCTACTCTTACCCAATCCTGAACAGCCAAGGCATGCACCACCCTGCATTCGTTTTTTTCCTTTATAAAGCCCTTGCAAATGAGACCAGGCACCCTGTTCCTGCAGCCACTGTGCCAGTTTGCTGGACAGGGTCCTTGCTGAGGCTTGAGACTTAACATTAAACTTTGTGCATTTGCATTGGTGAGTCAGCTCCTTGGTGGTCTTTTTTGGGGTCTCACGAACGTGGCATAACAGTCAATACATAAATAGCACATTCCAGCTACACTGTTACAGACTGTTCTTACTCCCCAAGTGTCTCAAAATCCCCCTGCTGAAGTCTAATCCACGCTGTGACAGCATGTGGCGTTGAGACCCAACAAGAGTAGGTAAGAGAGTGAACCGTGCATTTATAGAAACAAGAAAGCCAAGACAAATAGGTCTTTTTAAAATTGGGGTCTACCTTACCCTTGCTTGTAGCGAGGATAGATAAGATCTGTCAGCTGTCAGCACCTTGAGCTTGGACCAACCTTCAGTACTAACATTTGCTGTAGTGGATAGTGATTTTTTTTTTTTTTTTTTTGGCCCTGAACTAAGACACTGCCCCCTCCTATCCCTGCACACAGGATGTCTCGGAGGGAAAATTTTCACCGCGGAAATAAGTACTGCTTCTTACAAGGGGGTTCTTTCCTTACCCTGTCATCTATGTTGACAGTGGTAGCTGGAAGACTCACACTGCAACAGAAAAACTAGAGCCTCACAACCAGGAAACCTATGTGCTCTACTACCTAGTGGACTATTGACAGAAAAATTAATTCCTACTTTTAAGTTACCACATTTGCTCTCCAAGTTCTCATTATGAATTTTTTTTAATCTACAAAAGTTAAAAGAACAATATCATGAGTACTCATACAGTGTCTAGATTTTGCTACATTTGTTTTATCTAAATATTAGTATAGAAACATACAAGTTTTGTTGTTATTGTTTTTCAAGACATGGTTTCTCTGTGTAGCTTTGGCTGTCCTAGAAATCAACTCTGTGGACCAGGCTGGCACTGAACTCAGAAATCTGCCTGCCTCTGCCTCCAGGGTGCTGAGATTAAAGGTGTGCCACCACACCCAGGTAGAAACACACAATTTTTAAAAGTTTAAACTATGAATATGTCTGTGGGTATGTGCATGTTAATGCAGGTGTCTGTGGAGGGAACAGCAGATGGTATCGAATCCCCTGCAGGGAGCTACAGGCAATGGTGAGCTGCCCACTGTGGGTGCCAGGAACCAAGTTTGGATCTTCCTCAGGAGCAGCACATGCTTAATCAAGCACTGTGCCATCTTCCCAACCCAATATGATGGGGGAGGTCCTTTTGTATGCTGTGAATACATGTTTCTCTTATTGGTTGATGAATAAAGCTGTGTCAGCCAATGGGCAGGCAAGATGTAGCCAGGCAGGAAGTATAGGGGAGCTACCAGACCAGGAGAAGGCTGGGAAGAGGGACTCAGAGAGGGAGTCACTGGGGAGACACCATGTAGCTGCCAAGGAAGAAAAAGATCTGGGCATCACCTGTAAGCCAAAACCACAGTACAGATACACAGATTAATAGTTATGGGTAATGATTTAAGAGAGAGCTAGCTAATAAGAAGCCTGAGCCATAGGCCAAAGTTTACAATTAATATAAGCCTCTGTGTATTTATTTGGGATTAAATGACGGGACAGAAACTTCTGTCCACACCTACATATATGTGTGTATGTGTGTGTGTGATTATTTTTGATAGGTATCTGAAAATAAGTTGTACAAGTAATAAAAATTTATCCCTACAATCTTAAGCACAGTGCTTTAAAAAATAAGGAATTCTCCTACATGATATCACTATCGTATTTGGAAAAGTTTTCCTAATTTCCTTATCTGACTCAAGTGTGTTCTATAGGGGCTTTCTGGATGAAGATTCAATCATTTGTACTTCATCTGTTAATAGTTCTTCATTCTTTTTTAACACTGCTTTCCCATGACTTCTTTAAAAAGCTTATGTGAGGGGTGGTATATGCAGGTGTCCTTGCTAACACACCTCAGCAAATATTTCCACACCTACAGCACAATGGGGTTAAGGGGGAAAGCTTCCAATGCAGAGCTGCTTCTTAAAGCCTTGCCCAAGGCACCTATTAGCTGACTAAAGAAAAGCACATGGTCACATTTAACTTCAGATAAGTAAACAAACCATTTAGCAGAAGTCAGTTCTAGATGAAAGAAAGCTTCCTGGGGGCTGGAGAGATGGTGCAGAGGTTAAGAGCATTGGCTAATCTTCCAGCGGTCCTGAGTTCAATCCCCAGCAACCACATGGTGGATCACAACCATCTATAATGAGATCTGGTGCCCTCGTCTGGTGTGTAGGCATACATACAGACAGAATACTATGCACAATTAAATCTTAAAAAAAAGAAAGCATCCTGGGCCTGCCCTTATCTGCCATACCTCTCTTTGGACAATTCTATGCACTGGATACTCAGCCATTTCAAACCCTTTTCAATCTCCTTAACCTCCAGTTCTCCCACCTCCCACAACGAGATGACCAATCTGCGATGACCAATCTGCTCTTTCTACCCCTCGACATTTACAATCCTGCATCCACTAACTTTCCATTATCAAAACTGTCTGGAACTCTCCAAGACTCTCCTAGCACTGAGGAATCAGCCCACTGTTATAGGCTGTACTCGTGGACATTTCACGGAGCGTTTGAATGAACACACAACCTGGTTAGAATGCACGGGGGCACTTTTCCATAACTTCCAAAAACTCCTCTGTAGTGTGCAGGCCGCTCACAGGAACAAGCAGTGAATGATGTCTCTAATGGGTTCCCCCTGAGCTCAGGTGCCAAACACGGGTCAAAGTTGCCGGCATACCCACAAAGAACAGGAGCCTCAGGCAAGATTGTTAACTCTTCACCACAAATGTGTTCTGGCTTCCCAGCTCCCCGTGAGGTTTTCTAAACATCAAGTGTTACAGCTTTTTTTAATTTACGTATTTTGTGGGTAAGGATGTGCACGTGTTTGTGTGTGTCTTTCACCACGTGGGTCCTGGAGAAGGAGCCACAGCCTTTACCTGCCGAGCTTCAGTTTTTAACTTAAACATTACCAGTCCGCCGGCATTTTCTCTAGCACACAACGTACGGCTAGTATATTTAATATTTTTCCTTTTCACTGGCTACAAGCATCCCACGTCCGAATACTGTCCTTTTAAGCCTTGGGCTGCTATTCCCCAGCATGAGAAGAGGAAATACCGGCGCTCAAAATACTCAAGAAACCTTCTCCCAACTACTCCGAGACAGTTCACGATCATCACTATCATCATCCTCATCTGACACTTGAAACTGGATGGAGGTAAAGTGTCCGCGAGCCAGGAGGGGACTCGGGTAGGACCTACCCCTAACCTAACACTCGGTGTTGCCAGAAAGCCGTGGCTAGGCTCTCTTCCTCAGGCCACTGACGCACCCCAAGCTGGAAGAGTGGGAAGCGCTGCAGGGACGAGAGGTCCCGGGTCACCGAGAAAACTGCACTCGGCCTGGCTCCCTCCCCGGCCCCGCCGGGTGGCTGTCCGGGGGACGCCCCTGGGCATGTGACGCGGGAAACCTCTCCTTCTCGACTGCTCCACCTAGAAGGAGGCCTCGCCGCCCCAGCGAAGACACAGCGAGGACACAGGGTTGCAGTGACCCCAAAGCCTGGGCCCCGACTCACCCCGCCCGCCGGGCCGCAGCTTCCACACACAGGAGCGTCTACGCCTGCGCAGCAGGCATCCGGAGAAGGCGGGGCCTGGCGTCCTGGGTGGGGTGAGGGCGGGGTCTGGTTGCTGGGTGGGGCGAGGGCGGGGCCTGGTGCTCAGGGTAGCCCGGGGGCGGGGCTTTGAGCCCAGGCTCTGATCCCAGCCGTCCTTCCTGCAGGGAGGAGGTCGAGTGGGTGGTGGTGTAATATGCAGGTGACTCCCTGCTACCTGCTGGTACAATGCCAGCCACAGGACCTTGTTTCACCTTTTGGGACGGCCTCCCCAAAGGGTGTCCCATCACCCTTCTGGGAATTTACTGTATATGAAGTTTTTTTTTTTCATGCGGTTCTCACTTCCGAACTAGACAATCACAACTGTAATTCTTCAGAGTCTGATCATCTGTTACAGTGATGTACAACCTTGCTTTCGAGTAAAAATAGCTGGTTTGAAATTATTTTGTTGTAAGCACTGGTTGATGGGACCTAGAAGTCTCAGCCTTTCACAAAGGACAAGTTGTGGCCTAATGGAGAAGGTGCTGAGATTGAAACTAAAAGATTGTAGTTCAGCGCCCAATGCTGACTGTTACCTTAAAATTTTTATTTCATTTCTATGGGGAAAATTGTCGAAAGGGCTAGCTATTCGTTTACATTGTGCTTATAGGAGCCATGCATTCAAATACAGTGGGATACAAACATACTTGTCAAAGTGCTAGGTATGGGAATACAGAATTATCTTTTAGGAGATTTTCTTCCAGGGTGAAAACACTCCATCAGTAAGAACAGTTCTGTTGTGATATAATTTCAAAGTCAAAATTGTCTGTGTTGGGAGCTGGCCTTGAGTCACATTCTCTTGCAAAATTACTTATACCTAAAAACTCTAATTGAGCCTTATCTTGGTAAAACAGAAAACTGCTAAAAAAGCAGTCTGTTCCACTCAACCCAGGAACTGAGAAGAACCAGACACCAGGAACTGAGATAAGCAGACATTTACGGTCTGATGTTTATGGCCTGGCACATTACCAGAGCCCCAGAGTCAGCACAGCTACCCCTCCCCATTTCTACCCTGCTTTGCTTTAAAAACTCCTCTTTGTGCCTAATAAAGTTAGACCTTGACAAACATTGTTTGGTTTCTTTCCTTCTTTCTCTCCCATTATTTTCAGGTTCTAGCCCACCTCGACCCACGAATAACTAGGCCCCGCTGGTCGGGGCATGTATGAATAAAATTTAGTATGTTAATATTGAATTTGAAATAGAATGTGAAAAAGATAGGTAAAAGAGCAAATCTAAAATATTTGCATCCTAAGTTGCAACAGGAATAGGTCCTTTCTTTTATTCTTTTTTTTTTTTTTTATAGATGTACAAAAGCAACAATTACACATTAGAACTGTAGGTTTAAATTCTGAGAAAACAGTTATGGTAACATAACAATGGGTTGTATACTTAGCAAAATTATCAATATGCTAGTAGGAAACTACACATACTTATTAAATACCTTTTAATTTGCATTTCCTTGGCTAGGGATGCTTCACTCCAGAGACAGTGGATCTAATCAAGAAATCTGATGACAAATTCTGGTAAATATGACTGGTAGAGAGGCAAGCTAGTATAGCTATTATGGAAATCAGTGAAAAATTACAATTAGAGCTATCATATGACCCATCTATCTCACTCCTTAACATCTGTCCAAAGTCTGAATACCCCACTACAGAGACACCTGCACAACCATGTTTACTGCTGGTGTATTCTAAAAGCGAAGTGATGGAATTAGCCTAGCTGCCCATCAACAGATGAATGTATAACGAAAATGTGATTCATATGCACAAAGGAATTGTATCCAGCTATAAAGGAAAACAAACTATACATTTTACAGAAAATATGGATCTGGAAAGTATAACATTAAGCAGGGTGACTCAAACTTGGAAACACATAAACCATACCTTCACTTTCATTTGCAAAGCCTAGCCTGTGTAATGAGTGTAATGTAGGCAGAGCCTGAAAAACCAAAAGAGACCAAGAGACGGTAAAGATGGATTCTGAGGAGTCGAGGAAGTGGAGTACAGAGGACACATGTGACATGAAGGAGGGAAAGAAAGCAGGGCTGTGCATTTACAAAGGGGGGACCTGAGGGTGGGGGTGAAGGAGAGGAGAACCTACTAAGATACACTTTTTCAAAGAAGGGATAGGCCCTCTTTAAAGTACCCTGTTTTAAGCTGGGTGATGGTGGCCTAGGCCTTAAATCCCAGCGCTCGGAAGGCAGAGGAAGGCAGAACTCTGTAAGTTCCAGGCCAGCCTGGTCTACAGAGTGAGTTCCAGAACAGCCAAAGCTACACAGGAAAACCCTGTCTTGAATCCCCTCCCAAAATAATCAATCAATCAATCAATAAATAAATAAAGTATCATATTTTAAGACTCAATTTAGAATTAAAGGTAGAAGGGATAAATTTTAAAATGAAAATTTAGATTCCTTTCTTAATAAAAAATTAAGTATTCTCCAGTTAATCTCTCTATTTAAATTCTTAGAATTGATAAAGTACTATGACTACTGGCTGTCCTCCAAGAAATCATTTTCCCAAGTCTGGCATTTAGACAAAAGCCACCATGTCCATACTTCCGTTAACAAGAACAGTTAGCCAGAAGCAGAACTACAGAAGCCAAAAGACAAGGTTAGTTCTGAGAAAACAGTTATGGTAACATAACAATGGGTTGTATACTTAGCAAAGTTCATTTCCAAGAACTATGGACTTTGATGGACTAGGTCTTTGTTTAGTTTTGGCAGGTGTGCAGTTTTTACAGCCTGTGCTGAGTTTCACAGCCCGAATGATATTTCTATCATGGAGTCAGTTGTGCTAAGCCCTCTGAGGTCTAGGGCCCTGTTACAATTTCATTTCTGTTACTGTGATAAAATATCCCAACAACAAGCAATTTAGAGGAGAAAAGAAGTCCGTCATGTCTGGACGTCAAGGTAGCAGAACTCAAGACAACTAGAAATATCCTACTGTAAGAAATATCAAATATAAGACTTTTGTATCAATACTGTAAGGACTCAGGCATTATGCTGGCCTGCCCCTGACACCTGGCATAATACACTCAGGGAGTACCATGGTCAGCCCAGAGTTCCATAATTGCTGTAGTCTGGACGCAGGTGCAAAGGACCCCTTTAAAAAAAACAAAGGACACCCCATACCTCTTCTCTTTTTTTCTTCCCACCCTCCCTTTCTAAGAAAATGTCTCACTTAAGCTCCATCTGCCTGGAATGTTCTGCCCTGGTCACACTTACCTGCCATGGAATCCGCCAAGGTTCCCCCTTGGGCTATCATAACAAATACTACGAAACTTGTGTTTAGGACAAGGAATTCAAATCTTTTTTTACTCCTTCCGTCCCTTGTCAGGTTTTATTCAAATATTTTCATTCTCATCATCACCCAGTAAAATCTTTGTTTACACAAAGGTCCTCTACTGCATTCCAGGAATTTGATGGCCTAGAGCAGTGACTCTGTTGTCTTTCATTTTCTATTCACCAATTCGTTTCAGTTAAAATTGTGACATCAGACCCCAGCCAAAGGGAAAAGATAGTCACCACCTAAGTTTGAATAAAAACCAAGTGCATTTCCTGTGTGTTCGATTTTCCAAGCACAACTCTTTATCAAAAGTAAGACTGGAATGGCGGTCCCTTCCTTTGGGACCCTGCACTTATTTCTAACAATACACACAGTCACGAGCAGAGAAAACTGAACTCGTGGATGCTTATTTGCTTGTGTACCCCCAGATGTTGCCATTTTTAAGTAGTGGAATGTTTGTATGTGTGTGTGAGAGTGAGTGCCAAGTGTCTGTGTGTGTGTGTGTGTGTGTGTGTGTGTGTGTGTGCCCGCAAACTCAGAAAACGACCTTGAGTTGTCCCCTGCCTGCTCACTGATCTCTTTAACCCTTCCATTCCTCTAGTCTTAAAACAGTTCACGACCCCCTGCCTAGGAACTGGTGCTACTCACAGTGGTCTGGGTCTTCCTATATCAATGAACCTAATTAAGGAGTCCCCCAAAGACATGCCTACAGTAAAATATTAACTGTGGCAGTACCGCGTTCTGCCAGCGTTGACTGTTGAGCGCTCAAGAGCCTGGACAGCGCCGGTGGTGAGAAGCCAGGAAGGAGGAGGAGGAAGTGGTCGGCAGCACCCAGGTCCGGAGAGCCCGTGGTGATGTTGGCAAGGCAGTTGCTTGGGACCTCATGCAGGGCGGCGCTAGGATCGCTAGGATCGGTGGAGGCTGCGTTGGGAGGTGAGCTGGATCCCCGAGAAACAAAAACCACCCGATTTCGGGTGCCAGGGAGGGGAATGACATTGAGCGTGCTCTCTCTTCTTTAGACGAGCAGTTATTAATATAAGCGAAGCTCGCCCTTCTTGGTATACAGTGTCCATGTACAGTTTTTACTCCTTGTTATCCTCGGGATCCCATGCTTTCCCAGCCTGGAGTTGCGCTGATGAACACAGCGACAGAGTAAACTTGGCATCAGGGTTATTTATAATGAGAATGAATTGTGCAAGTTTGAGTGATGAAGGTCAATTCACCACACATAGAGCCAGCCAGCAGAAAGGCTCCGGAGCGGCTTAATGACAAACCCACCCCTTTAACTTACATTGCGACCCACCAGGGCACAAAACTCATCTGTTCATGAACCAGAAACCCTCCTTCCTAATAAAACACACACACACACACACACACACACACACACAAAGCGAAAGACAGACAGACAGAGGCAGATGGAGAGACAGAGATGGAGAGGGAGAGGGGAAGGGAGGGAGGGAAGGAGGGAGAGAAAGAGAGAGAGAGAGAGAGAACTGGGTAGAATTAGGAAAGTACTCCCTCTCCCATTAATTTGGCCAAATTGGAAGCAGAAGAGAACGTCACTGTTGACCTAGCTGGGTCTAAAGTTCAGTTCAGGTTTCAGTTCCTCCCCTGCACCCCTCTTTTGTTATTATTGTTATTATTTTATTAACTCCTATTTTCTTCCACAGAAGCAGCTCTATGGGCCCAGCAAGCTAGCCTTCCTTGCTCCTTTCTTAACATCTTTTGTTACCGAAAGGATTTTCTGTGCAAATGCTTTCTTTCACCTCTCTATAGCCTTACTAGACAACCAAATCTGCCATACCCCCTGAGGGGATACAGCTCCCACTTATCTGCAGATGGGTGAGGGGGAGACAGACAAGTATGCAGCCCAATCCAGAGACTGAAGGGAAAAAGCCTCAGATCTTGGCTTAAGCACAGTGCCAGATAAAGGTTCTTTTGTGTACTGTTTAGTTTGTTTTGGAGACAGGGTTTTTCTGTGTAGGTTTGGAGCCTGTCCACAAACTCTCTTTGTAGACCAAGATAGCCTTGAACTCACAGAAATCCGCCTGCTTCTGCCTCCGAATTCCAATGCTAGGATTAAAGGCATGTGCCACCACTGCCTGTAATTTTTTATTTGAAAAGGTACACAAATAGTACAAGATTATATTCTCACTAAAATAATGTAAAATAACAAAACAAAACAATACAGTCACAGATCTCCCTTAACTACTCGAATCCCACTCTTCAGATATGGATGACAATGACTTTAAGCTTTTCTATGGTTAGCTATAGATAAAAGTTGGTATTATATGTGTGTATTGTGTGCATACTTCTATATTTTTGACTCACATACTAGTTAGCTTTTTCATAGAGGGGGTATACTACAGTTACTAATCAGTCACTAATAAAAATTTTTAGTTTCAGGTTTTTATTATAAAAATATTTGATCATCCTTGTGTAAACTACCCTATGTATACAAACAAGTATTTTAGTAGAATGGGTACCTAGAAGTAGAATTGTTAAAGGGAATGGCAAGAAATATTAAATAGATATGAAAGGAGAGTAAGTGTCCCCTGTAGAAATGAAGGACACATATTTCTTTTAGAAGCAGGAATTGATTGCACTGTATATACATTAATTTTATTTAAAGTTTACAGCATGTATTCATTAGTTTTCTCAATGTTATAACATAATACCAGATAAAAGCAATTTCAGGCTGGGAGTTGGTGGTACACACCTTTAATTCCAGCACTCAGGAGGAAGAGGCAGGTGGATCTTCGTGAGTTTGAGGGCAGCCTGGTCTACAGAGCTAGTTCCAGGACAGGCTCCAAAGTAATTCAGAGAAACTGTCTCAAAAAAACCAAAAACCAACCAACCAATCAACCAAACAAACAAAAAGCCCAGCAATTTCAGAAAGGGTTTATTTTAGCTCATGGCTTGAGAAAGGAGAATTTTTTCATATATATGCTCCAATATCTGTATAAACATATATATTCATATATACATATATATATTCTAAAGCTTAAGACTCATTTTTTTCGTCAGTGTAAGAACAGATGAATGTGGGATTGACATGTAAAACAAGCTTGTTTCAAATTTAAATAATAATTAAAAAAAACACCCAAAACCAAAAAAACCCCAAATAGGTATGGCCCCATGGACTCATGTGTTTGAATGCTTGGCCCATAGGGAGTGGCACTTTTGGGAGATGTGACCTTTTTGGAGAAGGTGTGGTCTTGTTGGAGATGGGCTCTGAGGTCTTATGTGTTCAAGCTATGCTCAGGGTGACATGCAGTCTCCTTCTGCTGCCTGTGAATCAAGTTGTAGAATTCTCAACTCCTTCTTTGCCTGCATGCCACCAAGCTTCTGGACATGATAATGGACTACACCTCTGAAACTATAGGCCAGCGCCAATTAAATGAAAAAAAAGAAAGAACAGATGAATGTTTCTTTGGTTAAACACTAGACTAAGTGATCAGTTCACAAGTAGGAGGATATGCTATACAAAAACACCTAATGCTTGCAAACAATAGTGTGCTGTGTAGGTTCATGCCATTAAAAGACTTGGGGAAGGTGAGACTAAAAAAAAGAAAAAAAAATACATTGTTGCTACAGGTTTTGATCACTGAATGGAAAGACAAGGAAACTTGTCTTCATTACCTGCTTACCTCACAAGTGAGTGTAGCTGGATTATAGGAAGTTAAAAGTCAGCCTGATGGTTACAAGAAAAACAAATTATCTTTGATACAGTTTCAAGAGTTGCTTGTTATGGGTACATTTTCCATGTTGGTAAACAGCCCTAGAGCCAAGCTTAACACAATTTATGAGATAACATCGTTCTCCGGTTTCTTACATGACACATAGAAAATGTGTGAATTTAGCCTGCTGTCTCTAATATTAATTAGTTGATTCCAACCTTTTAAAAATCAAATTAAGCTGGGCAGTGGTGGCATACACCTTTAATCCCAGCACTTGGGAGGCAGAAGCAGGTGTATTTCTTTGAGTTTGAGGCCAGCCTGGTCTACAGGAATGAGTTTCAGGACAGAAACCCTATCTTGAAAAACAAACAAACAAACAAACAAAGTCTAACTTTGAGGGATGGAAATGGCTCAGTGGTTAAGAGTTCATACTGTTCCTTAAGAAATCCTGAGTTTAGTTCTCAGCATCCACTTGGGGCAGCTCCCTTCCACAGGTAATTCCAGCTCCAAGAGACCTGACACCCTCTTCTGACTTCCGAGGGTACCCGCTGAAACCTCCTCGAATGTATACACAGACACATATTGTTATGTCAAGTTCATGAGACCCCAGAAAGACCACCAAGGAATGACTCGCTGATGTAAACACAAGGTTTATTGTTCAATCCTACCACGGTAGGGACCCTGTCTAGTTCACTGACACAGCAGCCACCAGAGAGGGTCAGTTTCTTGTCTACTGCTAAGAATTTTAAAGAAAAAAAAAAAACCTGCAGGGTTACATCAGCAGGTGGGGAGAGGTATTATGGGCCAGTTTCTAATTGGTTGACATTTGGGAACAATTAGGGGAATTTTTCAAAATCATGTTTTGGCGAGGCAACTGGTCTGTCAACGCTTTCCAATGGTTGGCTGCAGATGGGAACATTGTCTCGTTTCTGTGGTCTCAGCGGTCTCTTTGCAGGTGGCCTGTTGTAGATAGATACCAATAGTTCCCAGGAACTAACTATCCTGGAGACTCTGGAGGAGGATTTGATCTCTCCTGGAGTTTCTTTGTGGCCAAACATAGATTTCAGGAACTAAGCCTCCTGGAAAGTAAGGGGAGGGTTGGATCTGTCCTGGAGTTTCTTTGGGACATGTGCTGAATCAAAGGCCTACATGTCTTTTCTGTACCCTGTCATGACTGCTAAAGCAGGGGCCTAGGTGAGGGTCTGGTCCCTTCAACATAAACATAATCTTGGACTGAAGAGATGGCTCAGAGGTTAAGAGCGCTTACCTTCAGAGGACCTGAGTTCAGTTCTGGTCACCAATGTCAGGTCGCTTCTGTCTCCAGCTCCAGGGGATAAACATGTGGCTCTGCACACATGTGTTAGACACATACACAGGAGGAAAAAAAAAAAAAAACCTTACAAGTTAAAAAAAATGTTTTAAATCTCATTCTGGGGCTGACCATCTTGGTAGGTAAAGGCACTTACCACCTCAGCCTGGTGGTTTTTGATCGTGAAACCCATGAAAAGGTGGAAAAAGAGATCTAACTCCACAAAGCTGTCCTGTCACCCCAACACATGCTCCTGTAGGACAGATTTCTAAAAGTAAAGCCATGAGGCAAAAAGGTTATACATGCTTTAAATGTTATTACAGCTAATTCCTTTAAAAGTTCTATTTAAATCTTCAATCCCAGCACTTGGGAGGCAGAGACAGGAAGATCTCTGTGAGTTTGAGGTCAACTTGGTCCAAAATGGGCAGGGCTATGTTGAGAGACCTTGTCTCAAAAAACAACAACAAACAGACAAAAAAACCTACTACCACCACCACCACCAATAACAACAAAAACTAGGCTATGTGGTGGTGCACACTTTTAATCCCAGCACTCTGTATGCAGAGGCAGGCAGTCTCTGTGAGTTTGAGGCCAGCCTGGTCTACAGAGCGAGTTCCAGGACAGCCACGGCTACACCGAGAAATCCCGAGTTGAAAAACAAAATGAAAAACCTATATGTATTTTATTATTTTATGTGTACAGGTATTTTGTCCACACTGGTGCCTGAAAAGGGGAAAAGATGGTCCTGAACCCCTCAGAACTGAGCGAACAGATAGTTGTGAAACCACTATCAAATCTTGGAATCAAACCCAGGTCCTCTGGAAGAGCAGTAAGTGCTCTTAATCATTGAGCCATCTCTCTAGTCCCCCTTTAAGAGTTCTTAATGACAATGTGTGAGAATCCATTTCATCAGACCTTGACCAATTTTTGGTATTATCAATACCTCTAAGCTTTACAGGCCAGACACAAACTTTTAGCACATATCTTTATATCTCCCCACCACACACACTTTTTTTTTTTTTTTTTTTTTCTGAGACGGAGTTTCTCTATGTATCCCTGGCTGTCCTGGGATTTGCTTTGTAGACCAGGCTGGCTTAGAACTCACAGAGATCTGCCTGGCTCTGCCTCCCAAGTGTGACACCAAAGTCAGGGGCATTTTCTTTATTAAAGATTGGTGTGGGAGGGGCCAATCCACTGTAGGTGTGCCACCTCTGGCAGGTAACCCTGGGGCATAAAAGAAGCAGGTTGAGCGAGCCTTGGAGAACAAGACAATATGCAGCACTCCCCCACAGCCTCTGCATAGGTTCCCACCTCCAGATTCCTGCCCCGAGTTCACACCCCAGCTTCCTTCAGTGCCGGTATGAACTGGAAGGTGAAACAAACCCTTTCTTCACCAAGTTACTTTTGGTTACAGTGTTCTGTCACAACAGAAACCGTATGACATACAAATTACTATCTTTATTTGCAAAGGGAAATGTAGTTGAATTGTTCTTCCTATTGTCACTTAAGAATAGGATTAACAAATTAAACCGGTAACAATTATTAAATGGTTGATACGTTCCTAAGGTCTTGCCAGCTAAAGGGCTTTGGGAGAATCTGAAGTGGCAGAAGGCCCACTGTCAAGTATTCCGAACAAGGACACAGGCTGCCTGCTGTTGCTCAGTCAGAATGTGTGCATACTGGAAGATGCTTTTCTGTGCCCTTTGACCTCTCAGTTACGGCAGGGCTGAGCAGGGGCTTATATATCACAAGCAAGCACTTCACTACTGAGCTACCTCCCCACACCAACAGCTGCCGACACCAAATGTATAGTTTTTTCTACCCAAGCTAATTCTTTATTTGAGTCTTAGAATTTAACTCTGAACCAACTACCCCAGTTACCGAAGACACCAAAAGGGCTTTCTAACAAAACTGTCTCCAGTTTAGCCATGACTCCCAAGTCCCGGCTCCCTTATTTATGACCAACTGGACATAAATAAGATGCCCCATGACTCCTTCTCCATTATCAGTAACCTGCTAACAAAAATCAGGTTAGCACTTTTTAACAGTTTACTTTCAGTGATTTAATAAAGAATACAAGCTGGACGGTGGTGCCTTTAATCGCAGTGCTAGAGAGGCAGAGACAAGTGGATCTCTGTGAGTTTGAGGCCAGCCTCTGGTTTACAGATACACAGATCTAGGAGAGGCTCCAAAGCTGCAGAGAAACCCTGTCTAAAAAAAGAAAAGAAAGAAAAAAGAATAAGATGGATAATCTGCTACCCTTCTGAAGTAGTCATGGTGTGAGAGTAAGAGGAATCTTAAGTACAAATGTTTCCATCTTCATGGAACTCAGATGTGCCACCTTTGAAATGCTTGGATGTCTTAACCAAGTAGATCTCCAGACTCCATAGATAAACAATTTGAATGGAAGTGTCATGTGTAACCACTGTTGACTGCTAAGTCAATCTTCTAGCCTTACTCCATTGCACAGAAGACTGGGCACGAACAAGTTCTATTCATGGCTTAGTCTTTTGGTGATTAGTGCACCGAAAGCTGTCTAGGGTACCAGTGTCAACCTCATTATCATCTCCCAATCTGAGTTCTATGAACTTTCAAGTCAGGAACCAGGAACTCAGGGCTTGTATCTGGAATTTATTAAAATAAGAAGGGGAAAGCAGTTATGTCATCTAACTACAACCTACTTATAGCTGGTAATGCCAATGTCACTTTAAAGTTGTCTAAATTTTTTTTTTATAGGTTTGAAGTCAGTATGGGGAGGTAGCCAACATTTTTGTTCTGCTCTTCCTAAGGATGTAACTTACAGGGAACTAAAAAACCTACTGAACTCCAAAAATATTATGTTAATTGATGTTAGAGATGCATGGGAAATTCTTGAGCATGGAAAAATACCTGGATCAATCAACATACCATGTAAGTAATGTGTTTTAAATAGATTCATTTATATGCTTAATAACTGATTATATTCAAAATTAATTGAATGCTTTAACATTGTCTTCCAGTGGATGAGGTAAAGGAAGCTCTACAGATGAACCCAAGAGACTTCAAAGAGAAGTACCATGAAGTGAAGCCATCCAAATCTGACAGTCTAGTGTTTTCTTGTTTCGCTGGAGTAAGAAGTAAGAAGGCTATGGACACGGCATTATCACTGGGTTTTAACAGGTGTGTCAATGAAGGAAAAACTAGATTGCACACTGTGGATTGCAATATTATATAGACATTTGCGCTATAGCTCAGTGGTTGCATAATTGCCTAGTATGTAAAAGGCCATGGATTCAATCTCCATCCTAACAAAAATAAAAATAAACATCTTAATCTATTTAAGAATCTAATACCCAGGAAGCAGGTGGATCTCTGAGTCCAGATCTACAGATTGAGTTTCAGAGCAGCCAGGACTGTTGTACAAAGACACCCTGTCTTGAAAAAACCAAACCAAGCAAACAAAGCAAAGAATCTTTTGGGGAGGGGGCAGGGCTGGAGAGATGACACAATGGTTATGAGCACTGTCTGCAATTCCAGAGGACTCAGGTTTATTTTCTAGCATCCACATGGTACCTCATAGCTGTCTGTAACTCCACTTCCGGGAGATCTAATGCTATCTTCTATTAGGACACCAGGCATGATTGTGACATAGATAAAATGCCTATACACATATGTAACAAAAATTCAAAGCCAATAAGAGCTACATTGATACCTTGTCTCAAAAACAAGAAAACAAACAAACAAATGAAATGAAAAGAGTGTCTTGGAGCTGGTGGTATAATTCAGTGGTAAACCATGTTTCTCACATGCACACGTCCCTGGATTTAATGGCTACTACCACAGGGAGGGGGAAATACTGTTAATAAAGGCAGTATAGAGACCAAGGGCATGTGTCTTTCCAACCTACTCAAGACCAACAATTGTTTAGAGAGACAGAATCTAGACAGTATGGTGAGTAGCTACTACAAAGTCACCCTAATGTTCTGTTATGAAACCTACCACTATTTTGTATGTTTTCAGTGCTCAGCACTATGCTGGAGGCTGGAAGGAATGGGTAACCTATGAAATGTCAGAGAAGAAACAAGAAAATTGAAATTTGGATGAAGCAAAAGAAAACGCCAGTCTTGGCACCAAAGGCTGATGGATTCCGTATAACTGTGGCAACTGGTCTCCTCATCTGTTCCCCTGAACTTCAGAGGACTGAGATAATATGAACTACCAGTGAAATCTACAGATTCTACAGGGAATTTTTAAGTAGTAGGTATTCCAAAAGATCAGGTTACTTCTATTATCCAATCCAGTGGAATCATGCTAAAAGCAAAAATAGTGTGTAAACAAGCATTTACAGCATTTGAAGACTTATGGAAATGTGTGGCTACAATAGTACCAATGTAATTCATTTTAAAAATTAATGTGAGGATACAAATTTAATGGGTTATGACTGTGGAAGGCAAACATAACTGAAAGAGGTCATGAAATTTTGTAGGATAGTAGAGATGATCTGTTGCATGACTGAAATATCAGATGTGTGTCAAAACTTATCAAAGCAAACAACAAAGGTATGTGTTCTTTTACAAGTAATATACCTCAATTTAAAGACCAATAAAACAAATATTTATCCCAGTTTGACTCCTTCTAGCTTGCATGTGTTTCTTTAGAATGTTAAGTTATATGCTTGCTAGTGTGCTGGCATAATAGTAGCGAAGTAAACCTGTGTTTTCTTACCCCTTCGTCTGCCCGCCTTTTTTTGCATTCATTCATGTAGTCTTTAGATCGTGTAGGACCTACCTAGCCAAGCTCTCTAAAGTAAAGTGGAAAATCTAAAATACAAACATTGGAACTTGTATTTTCACAATGTCAGTCTGGTTTGTTGACTGCTCTTCCCACTAGGACAAGAAATGCTGCAACACATGCACATTCTCTCGAACACGCATGCATGGCTTGGTCTATTTAAAAGCATTACTGAAGCAGCAAGGCTTTCAAATATCTATGATCTTAAGGAGAAAGTGAGCTGTAGACTATGAGCCTGGATTATAATATGGAGCCCATCAACTAACAGGAGTCTGGATAAAAGTTCCAGGCTTTTAGTTACAGCTAGGGGGTACAGATAAGCCACAGCTTGAGCAGTACCCTCAAGAACTCTGAGTCACCTAAATCTCAAATGCAGGTGTCTTTCTGATCATATGACAGATAAATATATAGAAATGTGACTGTATTCCAGTAAAATTTCTTATGGACACCAAAGTTTTAATCTTATGTTCGTGTGCCGCCAAGTAATCTTTCAACTATTTGAAAATATAGTAAACATTTTAACCTCAAGGCCAGGCTGCAATGTAGGTGACAAACCAGATTGAGCCTGTAGGACACAGTGTGTGATTGGCTGAACCAGAGCTGAGTCTCAACTTTTCATAAATAACGTTCAGACTTCTGTCAGAACTTGTTAGGTACAACAGTAAGCAGGATCTTTTTCGTGCTTTTGTTTTGAGAGAGGGTCTTCCTTTGTAGCTCTATCTAGCCTGGAACTCAGAATGCAGACCAGGCTGATTGAAAACTTACAGAGACACTTACCTCTGTTTCTCAAATGCTGGACTTCAAGGTATGTGTCACCAGCAATAAATATGAACTTATGATTATAAAACAGTAACAGGAAAAGAAGAGTTGGGTATGTTGGCATATGCTTGTAATCCCAGCACTTGGGAGGTTGAGGCAGGAGGGCTAGAAGTTAAAGGTCTCCAGCTACACAGTGAGTTCAAGGCAAGCTTGAGCTATATGAAACTTTCCCTGCCTAGAGAAGAGAGTATGAACAGAACCATAAGGGATTTACATATTGAACTTTCAGACACAAGAATTAACATAAGCATGATTAAAAAGTAAAGTAACTAAAATATATTCAATAATTTGACAACAAAAATAAGGGGAACTATATAAAAACATGAGAAATATATAAATAACATGCATACATACATATATATGTATATACAGAAATTCTAGAAATAAAAGACAATAACTAAGCCAGGGTCACTGGTAAATGCCTGTAATCTCAGTCGCTCAGGAGGATGGGGTAGAAGGATTGTGAGCTCAAAGCCAATCTAGGCAAATTAATGAGAACCTATTAAAAACTTAAAGAGGGTTAGGGATGCAGCTTAGAAATAGTACATTAGCCAGAACACACAAGGCCCTTGTTTGATTCCCTGTAACCAAACATAACAACAAAAGACAATACCTAACAGATGTTAAACAGGCTTCAGAACAGATTTGACACAGATAAGATTAATGTCAATGAAAAATTAGAGGTTTGCCTTTAATCCCAGCATGTGGGAGGCAGAGGCAGGTGGATCTCTGGTTTGAGGCCAGCTTGTCTAAAGAGTGAGTTCCAGAGTAGCTAGGGCTACACAGAGAAACCCTGCCTCGAAGGAGGAGGAGGAGAGGAGGAGGGAAGAAGAGGAAGAAGAAGAAGAAGAAGAAGAAGAAGAAGAAGAAGAAGAAGAAGAAGAAGAAGAAGAAGAAGAAGAAGAAGAAGAAGAAGAAGAAGAAGAAGAAGAAGAAGAAGAAGAAGAAAAGAGAGGAGGAGGAGGAAGAGGAAGAGGAAGAGGAAGGAAGAAGAAGAGGAAGAAGAAGAAGGTAGAGGTTCACACATTAAGAGTAAATTATAGAGACTTACTCTGTAACCTAGTTTTAAAACATGAAATTGTAACATTTAATAGGCACTTCAGTATAGCTATGTAATAACAAATGCCAATTTCAGAACAGTTTCCATTGGGAAACAAAGGTATTAACAACATTGTTAATATTCTATTTAATGTTTGTTACTTACTACTGCCACTTTTTCTATGTAGGGGATAGGGATTATTGTTGAGGGGACAGTCTGAGGTAAATACAGATTCTTCAGAAAGTGAGGATGGGCTCTTTAAGAGTGTTTCTCGTTACCAGAGGAGAGATGGCCAGGAAGGCATGGATGTGGCTAGAGAAAACGAGAGGATCTAGGGGCCTATAAAATACAATCCAGAGTTCATTTAGTCAGCACCCAGCACCCGGGTACCACCCACACCAAAGGGAGCTAGTTGTTTGCTTGCTTGCCTGAGTAGAGCTGTGGCTTTTTCGGCTTTCCTGTCTCACGGAACAAGCTCAGACATTCCCTGGATAAAGAGCACACCCCTTATAATTCTTGAGGGCTCATCTGTGATTCCAGAGGACCCATTCTCAAGGCATGCTGGCAGATGTGGTGCTGGAGAAGGAGTTAAGAGTTCTTCATCGGGAGCTGCAGGAAGAGAGAGACATTGGACCTGGCTTGGGCTTCTGTAACCTCAAAGCTCACCCCAGTGACACACTTCCTCCAACAAGGCTGTATCTTCTAATGCTTTCCAAATAGTGGTACTCTCTGATAACTAAGTGAAGACGAAGGTTTTGGTCCACAGCTGCTTCAGTCCCAGATAAACACATGGTGCTATGTTGGCCAATGACTAGGGCTTCTTACTGGCTGGCTCTCTCTTAATTATTAATCATGACTACTAATCTATATATTTCTTTATGGCCTTATCCTACCAGAGAATGCCTGGCATGTCCTATCTTCCAGGTCTCTACATGGTGTCTCCTCATGGCTTCTCTCCCCAGAATTCTCTAGCCCTGCCTATCTTCCTGCCTCTATTGGCCAATCAGTGTTTTATTCATCAACCAATAAGAGAAGCATATATACAGAAGGACATTCCCCATCAACTAAGCATTCAAATCTGTTAGCCTATGGGGGGCATTCTCTTTCAATCACCACAGTCTTGGAAAAAAGCCACGGGGAAGGCCACAGCTCTGTTTTATCATTTCCTCACCCCACACCCAGACATTCTGATGTCCCTTCTGTAGCTATATGTGGTTGGTTCTTCAACTGCAGCCCTGAAAGTCTGGCCTTTTGTGCGGTGTTTGTAGACGCAAAAGCCAGATCAATGGTTGACACCTGTGTTGGGGGTGGTGTGCTGGTATTAGACATACCTGGGAAGAGGAAATCTCAACTCAAGAACTGCCTCCATCAGATCGTCCTACAGGGCATTTCTCGTCTGATATGGGAGGGCCCAGCTCACTGTGGGCAGTGCTAGATCTAGGAAGGTGGTCTCTAGTAGTTAAGAAAGCAGGCTCTACAAGCTGTAAGGAACTAGTCAGTCGAATCGATTCCTCCACACGGCTCTAGTTCTTGCCTCCAGGTCCCTGCATTGAGCTCCTGCCCTGATTCCCCTCAGTGATGCATGATGACTTGGAAGTATGAAAAATGAAAAAGGACACCAATGAAGTCTCTCATGACTCTAAGGCACACTTTTCTTACTGCCCTCTGGGTTGGCCTGTGTCTGGCATCCTACAGAACTTGGGAGTGAAGGAACTCCCTGAGCCGAAAGGGACAAACACCCATCTTTTTATAAATCCAGCAGCAACAGGTTTATAATGTCCCTAGCCCATTATTTTTCAGCTCCAATGTAGAGGGTAGTGGGACTATTTACAAACATTCCCCAATGCTCAATTTTCCATAGTCTGCCCTTGCCTTAGTTGCTACTGCCAAGGAATATCCAGAGGTCACAGGATGCTGTCTGTCTTTATAGCATCCTTGCAAGACTTCTCTAATAGTATGCACAGTATGCACTATTGCACCATGGGCCCTTCTAATCTTTCGTTTGCTGCTTTTTTTTGTTTGTTTGTTTGTTTTTTTTTTTTTTTTTTTTTTTTTTTTTAGACAGGGTCTTTCTACATAGCCCTGGTTGTCCTGGAATTTGCTCTATTGACCAGATGATCACACCTAGCTCACCAAGGACCCTTTCATCCTGATGATCCTTGGGACTATGGCCACTCCCAATTAGATGCCCATTACCCCACCAGACATGGGCTCTCCCCACTGAGGATCTCTGTGACTGATATACTTTGGTAACCTCTCTCTCTCTCTCTCTCTCTCTCTCTCTCTCTCTCTCTCTCTCCACCCCCTTTCTCTCTCCCCATAGAGACAGAGTTTCTCTATAGTGCTTTGGAGCCTGTCCTGGAACTCACTCTGTAGACCAGGCTGGCTTTGAACTCACAGAGATCCACTTCCCCTGCCTCCCGAGTGCTGGGATTAAAGGTGTGCACCACCGATGCCTGGCTTGTAAACTTTCTTGCAAGAAATCAGATGGCAAATCAAGTGTGTTAAGAAACAGTAGCACTAAAAGCATCTTAGATACAGAGGTTTAGGTTGTTGGGACCGGAGTCCCTGCAGACAGCCACATGGTGACATGGCTCTGCCAAGCAAGACTGGGAGATGGCAGAGGAATGAGCCATGGTATGTGCATAAATCTATTTGTTCTGGTCTCTCCCGACAGATAAGACCACACTGTCCTGTTAGCAGGTTGGAGATGGCCCTCATTCCCAGTGGCCTAGGGTTAGGGAAGTGGCGAGCCCAATCCAAGACTTCTTTATCTTTCCTCTTCATCGAAGACAGGACAAACAGGCAGACACTTGGCTACCTTAACAGAGTAGAATTAGACACTTGGGCACTCAAACAGAACACCAATTTTCCTTTGGTTAAGAGGCCTTTCTCCCGTATCCCCTGGGTGATGGGGGAGGAAAAAACGCTGCCTCAGAGACCCTCAGTATAATACTACCCTTCAACTGGAC